GCTCGCGCAGCTCTGCGAGCTCGCCCCGCTGCCATGCGACTCCCCATTCAGCCTCTGCAGCGACGGGGTTACGCCGACGCTGCCCCCGACAAGGCTCGTATCCCGCATCACCGCCGAGTTGCGCGGCTAACATTGTGCAGATCAAGCTCAACCTGTCTCTCCCGCACCAGGTACGATGGCCTCCAAACATGCGGTTTGGTCGCAATACGTCACGCACGCTGCGACCCTCTGTCACCCGCTTTCGTGAACACGACCTCGTTGCCGGCCAGCCCTGCTAATTCCCGCACCAGTCCATCTACAGTTCGCAAGACGTCGTCCAGGTCAACTTGCCGGCCGAGTCGGGGGAAATGGGTGTCCTTGCCAACCACGTGCCTTCAATTGAGCAACTAAAGCCTGGCCTCATCGAGGTCATCGAGGAGAACGGCGCCAGCAAGCAGTTTTTCCGTACGTACATGCAACATGGAGGCGGCATTGTTCGGTTCACTAACATCCGGCACCAGTCTCGGGCGGCTTCGCCACCGTTCAGCCGAACTCCGTCCTGAGCATCAACGCCGTCGAGGGCTATCCCCTGGAAGATTTCAGCGCCGAAGCGGTCCGATCCCAGATTGCCGAGGCACAGAAGGTCGCCAACGGCAGTGGTAGTGAGCAAGATATTGCGGAAGCTAGGATTGAACTAGAGGTAAGATACATGCTCGGTATCTTTTGTGTTCAATTTGACTAACGACATCAGGTCCTGGAGAGCTTGCAAGCTGTTCTAAAATAGACTGTATAGAAGATAGTTATCACGCATCAACTTGTACATCAGCATAATTCCCTACAATTCCCGAGAGCGAATAAAGAAGGTTTTGAGTACTAGGTATCTTGGCGTCCCCGCGTGCAGGTTCCATCGAGTGTGAATGCGCCTACTTGGCATCCCTATCGCAGTTACCGGCATGGTTGTCCAACAGTCGCTACTGACCATTCTGAAAGGGTTTCGGCTGAACCTCTTAAACCATCGACTCTTCGATCTCCTTGTGAGTTGTGAACTGGCCCAGTGACCAACCTAGGTTCTTCGTGGTGCAGATATATTCCTTATGCCGAATGTTTAGCTGGGTGACAATGCGCTCTTTCTAAGTCTACTAGAACCAGCTTCAGACATCGCTCGTCATGTCTTCGCGCCCACAAGGGCGCGCTCCTAACAAGAACGAATACCGTATTCTTGAAGTTTCACTCCCCATTGGAACCGTCAGATCAAGGGTGCGTCGGTTCTACGCACTTTCTACCCAGGTCAACTCGTCCGAAGATCCCAACTCCGCCGAACGCCAGCGTGTGCACACATCTGTCGGTTAGGGACGTCCGCCACGCTCCCAGTTTGCAAAATCGCCAACGCAGTGCCTCGATGTTCCCGACTTTCGGACGCCTCCAGCTACGCACTCGTTTGTATTCCACAGCTGTGGTCGGCATAAATATGAAGAACAGCACAGCGAGAAATCCGGAACTCGGACGCCACTCTTGTTGCAACCTTCTTGCCGGAAAAGTTTCTCCATGGGCCATCTATGCAATAAATTTGGTCTCACAGAAATGCACTCGTCTAGTGGACGACATGTTTCCAACACTGTCCAGGAAACGAGTCTTAGCCCAACTCATTTTCCCTTGCCAACCGCTACCTATGGGACACAGTCCTTCGCGAACCCCTTATCTCCCTCTAAGAACCCGCAAATCTTGCCATTAGTTTCACCCATCTTGCACGATACTCCAGAGATGGAGAAATGGAGGTCAGCTCAAGACATGTTCACACAATATGATATTAGCAGGCCGCCTGGCTGGCTTTCGGACATAGAGGACCTATCTCTATCAGGGGATGGAAATGCCAGCCCCCGAAGATATTGCAGATACTGCCACATCTGCTCGACTGCTACTTGGGCTCCAACCCACTGCTCCTCCTGTGGGCACCGTCTTTGCAAAAGGTGCGCGTGTGAGGTATCCAGTGGCACTCCGCAGGCTCATGCCAACTTTTCGCGCCATGAAAGCCCTATTATCACAAGAGACGGATCACGATATGTATCTGCTCCTAGGTCAAATCTGGAGTCCACGCAAAAATTTCGCCAACAGGGAGGAACAGTTTATTCCACCCCCAACAGCCGACACAAAGACCGCATAGAAACACAGCAGGGTCAATCATCTAAACACCGAGCCGACCCCAGTTGGCGAAACAGGAATGATGGACATGGAGAAGAAACAACGCTGCCTGAAAAATCTACGCTGGTCATGAGAGACGGCCCACAGATGAGTGAAGAGCAATCTAAACAGGTGCAAAGCCAATCGAAACAGCTCATTAAGCAGAGCCCGTTTCTTGCCATGGATAGAAGGAGCCAGGAACAAGAGATGGAGGGAAATGTTTCGTTACAGGCTGCGAGCCGAATGGAGTGTGATGATCCCATGTGCAGAGCAACCCATGTCGGGCACTATCCTTTTAGACATAGTGTTTCTTGCCCCAAACATCAAAACAAGCAGAGGCTGGTTTTCGGCCTTGACAGTACTTCAGACAGGCCGCCCCAGACCGAGGCAATTAAGAAACCTGGCTTTGATGAGAGGCTCCCGCCGGGCCAAGCCAATATCGTTCATCGCCATCACTCTGCCGGCTTCCACAGCTCTCATCACATTGCAGAACACCTGTCGTCTGCAGTCGGTCACAACGCCTATGACCTCCTCAAGGGGCGCAATAGAAAAAATATTCGGCCCACCTCCAAGACAGTCATCAAGCCGAGCCCGTATCTTGAGCCTCTCACCAAGACCAAGTCAGTTACAGAGATTGATTCGTTTCAGTGGGCCCCAGACCCTGTTCCGCCGGGCCACCCGGGTCGCTCGAGTAATGAGAGGCAACAACGTTCACCAGCGACGAAAGCTGCAACAAGTGCACCAGACCATTGGTTTTCCGGGATTGCAAACGAGAAAACTGCACACGAGGGAAGAGACATCATGGCAGAGCAAGCTACTATTCACGGTGAGAAGAGGGAGGCCGGCAATGACTTGAACGTATCTTTACGTGATAATGATCTCCCAAAACTTCGATTAACCAGCACGCCGTCATGGTTAAAAACACCGACCAAAGAAGCAGCCAATGCTACTGCTCCACTACATCACATCAGTACAAAAACCCAGGATACGCATGAGCACGACCATGGCTATCTTTGGAGCGCCTCTGTCGATGGCTGAAGAGGCCACGCGACCATTCGCTCAGCAAGCCCTGCTCACAAAGCTGACATGCGAAAAGACTCGAATCCTTTGAACATTTATGGAGGCTCAAGCCAGGAGCCAGACCAGGTAATCGCTCCTACTCCGCTCACTACCTCGCACATGAGGCAAGATCAAGATGCGCGGAGCCGGCCTGACCCTCGTCATGAGGATCACAAACAATCCGGAAGCAATTGCGAAGCAAAATCCCAGGAAGAACGGCATATTTTCTCGACAAGAATCCATAATTCGACGCCATTAATGCTAAAGGCACCCGAAATACCCCATATGACACCTAAGATCCGGATTGACCCGCCTGAGCGTGAACATCAAGATACCCCAGTTTCAGTGTCGAAGCGGCGCGAAATATTTGAACACGTTCAAAATCATTCGGACATAGCCATCTCGGCAAATACAACGAGTTCTGGACATGGCAACAATGCCGTCCAAAAGACACACTCTCACAAAGATCAGAAGCAAAGGGAAACTTCTACAGCTCAGAGTGGACTATCACAGTCGCTTATAGGAAGATAGGAGACTAAGAATAAGCACCTGCGCGCAGACACTCAGCTCAGTCATGAGGAAGATAGTTCCCCTATGTCCCTACGTGCGCGCCCTCATCAGCAAGAACCAAGCAACAACACCTTTACATCTACAACTCGCAGGTCCGAAGAACATGAGCACAGCGAGTCAAAATCGTTCGTTGAGCAGCTATCCGAAACTGAAATTGCTAAGCCTACACCCATCGCTCCTCCAAACCATCAATGTACCTGGAAAGAACAATATCTGGCCTTGACAGCTGAAATCCGTCAGCTCAAGGCCGAGCTGTCGACCCGCGCTTCGCTGAAAGGTTCGGATATACTCGGTTCTAGCTATGGGCAACGCGAAGACGATATCGATCTGCTGGAGGTCACCATTATCTTACACTTCAGGGATAGAGATGACATCGTCATCAATACCGACGTTGTCCGAGATGAGCCTAGTAACTAAACTTATCGCTTTAGTCAACCAAACAAGGGTTGTACGGACATTGACGATGGTATAAGGAATTCCAAGGGACCGGCTGTACACCATGGACTTGGGTTCTTGGTTACTTGGCATAAACAAATGAATAGAAAGATAGTGAATATGCTTCATTAATAGATGATATTATATGAAGTTTTCTCACCCTAAAATTTTGGGGCTTTCATGGCTTATATCTATAGTAAAGACTAGTATGCGTAGTGAGGCAAAATATTGATGATGAGGAAAAGAAGAGCTAGCTAGGTACAACCCAATTGCGTGGGCAATTTGGGATATCCTACCTAAGGTCCCCATCAGGAGGGCCACCTATATGTGTCCATGGATCCATCCATCCAATAACCAACCCTCTCTACAAGGCTAACCCCCCATATGTGTCTGTATTAATATATTAAATAAATGGTTAATAACAATAATTTATATACTAGTGCGTTAACATAGAGCATATTTGGTTAAGTCTACGAATTTATTCCAGGGAAGCTGTGAAGAAGGCAGTCGAGCAACTGGGAAAGTTGGAACATGCTGTCAATAAAACTACGTATGGAAAAAAGAGAGAAGCAGCAAACAAGCGGCGACCCGACAACTATATATATATACACTCGTTACCGGCCTCAACCAGTCAACCAATAATACTACCTAGGTACAAGGCTAGGCCAGGCCTAGCCTAGACCGTGTAACAGGAGGGAGTGATTGGGCTTGATTGGCAAAGGCGAAAAGAAAGGAAAGGAGGAAAAAAAAGAAAAAGAAAAAGTCGACAGCAATTTGGACTCCGAATCGGGGAATCGAACCCCGGGCTTGACGGCACTTTTTCTACATCACGGATGTGATGAAGATGAGAGCGTCAAATGTTGGCCACTACACCAATTCGGATTGTAAAGCAAGTCTGCTCAATAGCGGAATTGAACCGCTAATCTTGTCATGGCACCTAATACTGTGACACGCTATACCGCTTGGCCAGGCGGCCAATGATTGATGATGATGAACATTGTTCATGATACTACCCAAATAGCCAATCGTTTGTTTACGTAAGCACTATACAATTAATTCAATACCTAATTAGTTTGGGTTTCTCTTTCCTTTTTTTGCTTCTTTTTTCTTTCTTTATTGCTTCTGTGCAAAACAAAAATTTTAATTGGCTGCTTTCTCATGATTTAATAAAGCTGCATTCTGTAAAGACTATCGTCGAGGTTTATCTTTGGCATTCTGCATACAAACTCGGACGTCGAGGGCTCCCAGAAAGGAATAAATATATCCAATACACGAAGCATACAATAGTGAGGTGCAAGGAATTCCATGACCAAAGAGGAGCCGCACACTTGTCTTATGCTGCCTCAGGTAGGTATCCCGAATAGAGAACAGAGTCTAGACAAGCATCTTGTTCCCACCTGTCGGAGATCGCTGCAGAAGCCGAGGTATGTGTACTATGCTATGAACACATGTTGTCGCGTAAGAATCCTAGGATCCTCCTTGCATAACACGCTTTGTGTTCTATAGAAAGCAATGCCATGCCAAGTCTTCCCTCCTGTATCATTGAAACAAGCAGCTTCTAACCCAAAGCCAGTTTGTTTTTTTGGTTTGTTTTTTTCCCCTCTTTTTTCTAACCTTTCCAATGCATGTGTCGCACACCTAGTCGATAATATGGGCATCAATCTCCCAAATAAGATTTCTATCGAAATCCGAATCGATCCCGCTACCTTCTGTCGTGTTAATTACCTCGTCAATGCGGTGTGCATCGGGAGATTGTAATTGGTGCCAAATACATTCTTTCGCAGACCTGGCCAACACTGGTGTAAATACTAGAGAGGGACACTAACTGGCGCGAAAGTAGATTTAAAGGTGCCGATGATCGAGACGCGCTGAGGCACCCCTTGTTCCTTGATATAGGGGCTTCCCTGGGCCCTAACGCGCATCTCCTCGGGCTCCGCGATGCTCTTCACCCTGGCGAACTCGCCTTTGATTCCCGTCGGCTCCTCGTCCCAGATAGAGAATAAGGGGCTGTCGTCTGGAGAATATTTTGTCAGAAATGGTTGCTTGGGACACGGTATCTGGGAGTGCTAGTGTACACGGAAAATGATTGAACTATCTTTCTGGTTGCATTTTTTTGCTCTTGAGATTCACCAGGATGAATTTGGAAGCCGGTAGACACCAGGCTGGATAGTCACTTACGCTTGGTGTATGTTCGCACGCTGATGGTTGTCTATGGTAATGGGTTGCCCGGCACGACCGCAAAGGTGGGTGTGTCTAGTATATGGACATGAAACTGAATGGTCACGTCCTTGTCCCTCGAGGAAGCAGGGTTGCGATCTTTCATAATAGTCTGCTTGACTTATTTTGTGATCAGAAGGATTAGCAGTGTCCACTCATTTCTTCGCCGTTGGGGATAGGAGAAATATTATCGCCGTATAGGAAATTCCTTACTCGATCCACTAGCTGCCATGCACATCTATCCTATTCTACCTATCGGGAGAGAATATGGGCCTTATTATTGCGAAATGTTATGATTGGAGTAAAATAAAATGCCTCCTTACTCGGGATGCTACCTGTGGGAAAATGGAATATCTGCTGATTCATGTTGGGCCACGCCACTAGGAAACACGGATAAAGGAAGTCTCGCATCATTAGTGCCATGGCTAAATAAACCAGGAATGAAGTGGTATTTGTAGATTTCAACATCGCCGCTTATGGGTGTGTAATGGTTCCAGCCGACGCGAGGATACAGTACCTGCTGGTTGATAGGCATGCCAAACTCAAACTGTAGAGCCAGCTTCAGATCCTCCCAGGTGGACGATGGACCTAAGCCCATCTCAATAAGGTCGATTGTTAGTCCGATCTCCTTGGCCCCAGACCTTTTGTACCACAGCTCCATCTGCTTCGGAAACACACACTTGATGGGAAATGATTTCAACCTGAATGCTTCTGATGGCTTCTTTGCTAGTGATTTGCGTCTCGACAGAAAACCCGGGATTCTTAGGCTGTGCAACGAATTGGTGAACCTTGCCATCCTCACACACAATGCCATTAAGCCAAGGCTAGCCAGTTACGACCATGTAGTCTTGGGTCGACTCTCCCTGTTTGCGAACTTCCTCCTTTCCCTCATCCATCGGCAATCCAGAGACAGCATTGATACCGCCCACGAAAACTCTGATAGCGAAGGGCAAACGGGCTGCAAAATTGGTCCACATGGCCTCCCGCTGGTACATGGTAAATAAAGCACTAGATTTTCACGGCCACTCCGGATGAGACTTCTTTAGCGTAATCCCAATTCATATTTATGAGGGAGCATGGCCTACGGTCCATAGTCGAAATAAGAATAAAAATATAGACGATGGATGCAAGAGGGCCGACGGCAGCGGAAGTGGAGGGATAAGTTACGGAAATACCAATTTGAACTAGATAGATAGGGAATCGACCTGGATTTGGAGGCAACGCGTCCTTAATACTTGGATACTCGAATTGCATGGCTTCTTTTTCTAGGTGAACACTTATCACTAGGGATTTGGTGCTATCTGGGGTTCGGATCTGGACTCGGTCATTCGAGTTCGATACTTTGGTAAACATATTTAAAACTGGGTAGATGGTATATTGACGACAAAGAAGAGGCAAGATTGTGATGGGATAGATACTCTAAGAAATTGATCGCCTTGGAGTTGCTACCGAGACATTGGAACTTAAAATTCACTTATTTTTTACACAATGAAGTACACTTTAAGGGAAACCGCCTCTCGCTTTGTTGGAGGATGTCTACGTAAGACTATATGTTCATGAGATGAGTGAAGATGTCTCTCTATCTTACTGTAGATATGCATATAGCAGATCCTGTAGAGTATACCTAGTTCAGGAGCGCAGTACATCTACTGCTTTAATTACCCTGGGGAGTTCTAAAGACTGCCTGTTTCGAACTCATGATATCCTACTCTGGGATTGAGTAACCTTGCGACGTGAAAGTGGTTAGTTGACTGCAAGCTTGGATATGTGCTCGTACTGTTTACTCTTTGCTACCTTCAATGTTCCTTTGGTTGCCAGGAGAATTGGTGGCATCACGGCGAGTCTCTGGAACGCAATGCTGTAGAGTATAAGTACCCTTCATCGTTGTGGTTAAACTTGGGCCTCATAGCACCCGAACAGCGTCTTCTCTAAGTCCATTACCTACTTCTCTGACAGCATATTGGCTGGCAGCGCGGTCCTTTTAGAGTGCACGCTTTGCAATTGTAAGTCAAAACCCTGGGGCGGGTTTGATAAGCATTATGTAAACTGCTTGCACCGTTATATGACTATGGCTCTATTATGAATCTCACGAACCCTGAGCGCTATCCCGTCATGGATCCTCATGCCCCGCAGAGCTGACATTGATTCAGCCCGCTGCATAGAATTGGCAAGACATGGGATGTAGTCTTGAGCAAAGTTCTCACCATACACACCGTGTTACGTAAGGGATAGCGATATACAAGTAAGTCTGGTTGAAGGCGAGACAAGCATCGAATGTTCCACAATGTGATGCCTGCCTGATGGGTTGATGAAATGACTGGCTGTGTACCTAGGATGGCATGGTCGGCGCATGTGAGAGACACGCGTAGCTGTCTCTCCGTTGATCATATGATGTCTACATGTACGCTGATCTGCATGTATCCTGTATCCTGTATCCTGTATCCTGTATCCGGGCCGAGCCTTGACCGACTGCCACATAGCCAGCGGGGCATTCAACACTTCCGAAGAAAATGTTGTGCCAAATAGTTGCCGATTGTGAAGACACCGCATCTCGCTGTGACGACCTGTTCGCGACCAACGAAGGTTTCCAATACGACCTGTTTCGCAGAGTAGCCAAGCTGGTTAAATACTGCCGCTTGTTTCCGAGGTCGTTCAAGCCCCATGGTGCGCTGATATACACTGCCCCAACCACACTCCATCTACGAAACAAGCACGGAGAAGAGCAACCAATGGAGCGAAAATACGCTCACATGGTGGTATATGATGATCAACGGTCAGCAGCAAACGGCCAAATCATGACTTAGCCCAACAAGAGAATGTCGCCATGAACGTTGGAAATATTTGTAGCCTCCTCCAGATAGCAACCGTGTCGTTGATGCCTCTGCCAGACTGGCCAAGACGGGTATCGGGAGTGGTGCCAAGGCATGCCTCCACGAGTGACCAGCTCTGCCCACTAGGTTAAGGGTGGACGGCAAATGCCAGGTAGCGCGTCTACAATGTGAATGCCTGGGCACTACCTACCTATACAGTAGAATATCTGTAGGTAAGTACCTACCTAAATCTAGATGGTTGTTGATTGGGTTAGCGGGACAGCGGGTAGGCACAACACGCATGTAGGTTGGGGTAGCGTACCTACCTAGGTACGGTATCCCTAGGTATCGTATAGTGCACACTACCTATCTAAGATACCAGTAAGTACGAGACTCCCTAGGTCTGCTGAGAGTCCAAGCCTCTTGGCGATGAGCTGCGCGCATTGATCAGGTGCAACGATCCGACTCACTGCGGGGAACGGGAAGTAACAATTGCATTGCAGAATAGGGTAAACAAGATTATACGAGTTGCGAGTCCATAAGGTACGTAGTTAATAAAAGAATTGATCGTGCTGATCCCTGACAATTCCATATAACTATACCGAGTAAACAAAGAATAAGGAAGTGTGTGTTTTGCGATGGAGATGAGTTAGGCGCTGACCATACATAGACTGCTTTCTACCTGATATCACCTAATGTACCTTGCTTGACCCATTGAACTCGATCGCGTGCTTTGAGTCCCGGGTATTTAAGTATATACTATAGATGAGAGTCAATGAAGTAAAGAAATGAAATATAGGAATAACTAACCTATGTACAGCACAGTATTAGAATCAGCCACCTACAAATCGTGGTAACACCTGGGTAGGTACCTGGCTAGCATTCAATTGTACGTAGGTATTGGCTGTTACTGCTCTCCGCAGACTTCTTATTTGCTTTCTTTGATGA